TATGATTGCGTTGGATAAAAACCGCAATTTTTATACGTGTGCATGCAAAACTTATTTCTTGGTAGGGGTCTAAAAACAGCACAAACAACATTTTCCAAAAGACCAAATGAGTGAAAAGGTATATTCTAACAAAACGTATTTGACTAGCAGGTCGAACAACTGATGTTCTTAAACCCTGCTGACTGCCATTGGCGATTGCCAAATAAACGGATCACAAGATGTAACAAAATAGATCTTATTATTAATGTATTACCAAAGATATATATATATATATATATATAGTCAAGAGCCTACTTAACAAGTTGTTTAGATACATTAACAGTTTTGCAAAATAAATTTTGGTGTGTTTCGCAAAACATTTCGGAATTTGGGTTCTCAATGCTCTATAACTTCGAACTTTATTTAGCCCTTAACCAATTTGATTCGAGCGTCACTGATGAGTCTTTAGCAGACAAAACTTTTGTCTTTCGTCCAAATTTTAAGCCTGGTATCTTTGATGAGTCTTTTTAGTAACATATTTTTTTGGAAAAAAGTCTTGTTTATACCCAAATAAATAGTATATAGTAGACGACAATATCTAGAAATGAGACCATTTGGAAGTTTTTTTCTGTTTTGCACTTAATATAAATGTATAAAGCCATAATGCTAATATATAAGACAAATACAAAAATATACTGATGTCCAACCTTATGAACATCTGATGGACTAACTACTGTGGAGAAAAATTGTAAAACATACTATAGAAATATACGAAGAAAACAAATGGAAACACTCAGTTGAACGGCGACCAGAACTTAACCGGTATTATAAAATAAAATTGAGAATGGAAACGGGGAATGTGTCAACAACCCGACCAAAGAGCAGAAAACAGTCGAAAAAAATACATACATGTTTGACGGAGCATCGTTAGTTACGACTAGCGGTAACTTATCCATTTTTAAATTCACGCTTGTGAAATGAGGAGCCAGGCAAATGCTCTTTGTGTAACTTATATAATACGGATATACTTATGCATTATATATTATGCTGTACATCCCTTTTAAAAATCAGAAAGAAATGTTTAACAAAATAGTTGATAATCTTGACGTAGAAGATTCTACTTAGTTTCTTTAATCAGGATGATGACGAAATTGTACAGTCGTTACTTGGAAGTATGAACCATACCATGCAAACTCTAAATAGTGATGTATGGAGCCTCTTAATGTGCAACATAGCAGATTATATGTTTAAACTATACCAGGTCTTCAAATATGAACTTTATAGTCACATATTTGATCTAAACTAATGTTGTTTTTGTATGAATTGGTTAGGAATAGACTTTTTCTATTGTATTTCCTGTAATTATGTAACTATATATATATCCTTTTTTGATTGGTGTTATACTTAAATGTTGTTTAGGATATGTAAATATGTTTGTGTAATATTCTTGATGCTGTTCGTATAACATAAATTGTAAAATCTTCATAAATATGGAGGAAATAAAGATAATCAATTAATTATATGTGTTCGCCTAGCAACGAATGTTATATGCAAATATCCAGGTCAAGTTAAGTGTTAGAGAAGCAGCGTGCTTACAATCAGTTGGAGACATGCAAATGTGTCAAGTCTAACCTTTCGTGTAACTCAAGATGTAAAAACAGTTTGTAATGTAATTATTAGTAATTTGTATTCATTGTGTAAATAGGCATTCATTCTATGTTAATTGATGACAAAATGCATGTTTGGTTAAAAAAGTGGTGAATTAAACATTGTCGTTGCATGGCTTTATATCATTGTCTTGCTTGTTGCTAATGATTTTCCAAAAAAAAGTTTCAAAATTATAAAACAACCATTTTCCAGAATCAATACACACACGGTAAATAGAGAGCATGCAGTCTCGAAGGACTTTTGATTCCTTAACCCTAAAGTAAGCCCTACAATCCTTACCATTTTATTTTCTTATTTGGTTCTTGAATTATATCTAAAATTTTGAAACGAAGATATCAAGTTAGTAAATAGCTGTAAAAATGACAAAAAAAAATCAGTGATTACCTGTAATCACTGAAAAAATCAGTAAATTCATGTCATAACTAATTCCTAATTTCACCTAAATACTGTCACATAGTTCTCGTCGTCTTCTTTATTCAGATGGAAATGAAAATCTTTATGTAACCCTATATTAATTGTCATTTGTTTTCATGTACAAAAACGTTTTCCTGCAAATTTAAAATAAAAAGCGTCAACAGAGAGCGTTCTAAACATTGGAAAAGCTCCATATGCAAGGGGATCATTTTTGAATAGCTCTTGATTTACCACTATTATCTATTATTTTCATCGAACTTATCAAAGACTCTCATGGATTGACATTATTTTTTTGTTGTCTTTGTACATTTAAAAGACAAATAAACACTAGCCATTAGCCATATGACTTGGCCGTTCTTTTATTGTTCAAACTTTATTTTAAATGCCCAGTGGAGGATCCGGTTGGGGGGGGGGGGGGGGGGGGTTCAAGGAGTTGGAACCTTTTTTTTTGACGATCAATTCATTTGAATGGGGACATATAGTTGGAACCCCTCCCCCCCCCCCCCCTTACCCTGGGTTAGGAACCCCCCTTTTATTAATGGCTGGATCCGCCCTGATGCCAATCTATCCGGATAGATCCAATAAATCGGGGCTATATAGTGCTTGATATATAAATAAACTCATATATAGATACCAGGATTGAAATTTGTACGTCAGACGCGTGTTTCGTCTACAAAAGTCTTAGCTGCGGAACCGCAGTTCTTAAGATTATTTTGACAATTTGCTGACTCATCAGTGACGCTCGAATTAAAAAATCTAAATAAAGTACGAAGTTAAAGAGAATTGAGGACCAAAGTCCGAAAAGTTTTGCCAAAAACAGCTAAGGTAATCTAACTATATTGATAAAACTATGTTTTAGTCTAATCTTGAGGACCCATGTCGATCTTTAGATTGATCCTCTAATCTTGAGACCCCATTTTGATCTCTAGATTGATCCGTTGTTTTTCTGTCTGTAGTTTTCTTTGTAATGTTTTGCAGATATAGAAATAAGGAAAATAGTATGATTGCCAATAAAATATACGGCCTCCTGACCGGATAGGTACACAATAAAGTGGTGGGATTAAGCATATTTTTAACGCTCAATTCCTTCCCCTACATCAAAAGGTGTTATAACAGCACAATTTAAGAAAAAAGTTCAAAATTTGTTGGATAGGAATGACTCGTCAGATAAAAATTAACAGAAAACAAAGAACACAATGTATCGATCTAACTCGCAGTTACTAAAAGCTATTACAGGTTGCACTTTGTAAACACAGCTGTTTCACAAGCCGCGCCTCTTTTGGGGAGATATATAATATTCATAGATATTTTGTTTTGTTTACCTACTGGTTTCCAGATATGATCTCTATGTTTCATCTCAAAGAGACATAACTTGGGAATGTTACCGGTATAAAAACACATGGTAGCGGCGAATATTGAATTCTGAGAAAGGCCCAAAGTGAAGGTAGGGGTAGTACAGAATTTTAGTATAAGTTTAAACTCCTATTAGTTCGGGGCATAAAATTGTTGAATATATGTCGCACAGCCCCATGTTTTGACCTTTGAACAAAATAATAGTGCATATCAACTTTTCGTTCTAGGATAAAAGTATCGACAACCTGATGAACCATAAGTGTTCATAAATGGATATCATAACATGTTTATTTAAATGTTCAGAGATCTTAATGCAATGTTAAATTGATACCCTTCAACAATCAGTTTACTGAAAGGATCAATAAGTTTAGATGGATTGTTTATTAATTTTCGAGCTCTATTAACCGCATCACCGTACACATCAGGATAAGATATCCCGTTGATAATATGTTTTTTTACAGGTATAACCAAACTTCCAAACCAAATCTTTGTAACTATGAAAAAAGTATTAATTTGTGGTAACAACTATTGGTATTGTCTGTTTTTTCCTCCTTTTGCTCATGGTGATGGCTGTCATTCGACTAATAAGCTTTTATTAACCTCTTGGTATCTTCTTGTCTTAATTGATTTATTTATTCTTCATTCCATTTTAATACACACATTTAAAATTGTTGTGTATTTATGTGAAGTCGGAGGTCAACTAAAACAGCCATAAAACATCATAGGATAATTATATGTAATTTTCTGTCCGGATCAACCAATTATCACTAGATTATTCAGTGTGAGATCAAAAGTTCATTAACTGCCAGTTTCAAAATTGTCTTCTTGAAGCAAAAAAAAAAAAGAATATTCCATTAGACCAAATCTTAAAAGATGGAACATTCAGTTTTCGGATGCAGTGGTCGGATCAGGTTAATTGTGATGATGTTGATATGTATTATGAATCTTTAAATCTAATTTTTTAAAAGTTATTGTGTACACGGTATTGCAATTTTTAAAAAGACCTAAATTAATAAAATTGTAACTTAAGTTTCTTAAAAATGAAGAGAAGAGTAAGGGACACATAGCACTAAAGGGAGCCAAGACTTGGTAAGTCATCAGAACGTTTAATAACAGGACGATATTGAACCGTCTTACCAAATTTAAAGCTGCAAAATTTCGAAGCAGACGACCTCTTTAGTTTTTAATATTGACTAGTTTTTGTGTAACACATTGGCTCAGTTTAGAACTGTCAGTTGTCTTTCTTGATCATTATATGATTGGAAATTATATAACAAACATATTGGTACCTCTTTAACCCTTATTGGTACCCCTCTAAAAAGATTAATATAACATAGGTTTTTAATGAAAACTGCCTACTCCCGGAAACGACCTTTTGCTAAAAACATAACTATGCATTTCAGAATGACAGCATGTCACATGAAGATTACGCCAAGAACTCGATAATATTTTCGCTTTCCCAAGGCATATTGACACTTTAATAGCGTTTTAATGTTTTTGAAACAGATGGGATGTTTTTTTACAAATCATAAAACTATATAAACGATTATCATTTATTATAAAATTAAAAAAAAATGTTAAAATAAGTATCATCAAAATACCAATCATTTGAAAAATAATTTTCCCTGCGCACAGATATACTTCTAGTTCAATAATGAAATATAACATCATGTTCTTTGTGCTTGTGATTATTTCATTTAGAGAATGCCATTCTTGGTGCAGAGCGGACCAAGTTTCAGGTAATTAATTTTTTTTATCTATACGCATGTATTGTGGAATATTAACTGAGACAAGTGTAACTAAATCAATCTCATCTTATTTATTTTATATGTGAGGAATTACTGAATCCAGTAATATGAAACATGTCACCGTTAGTCAATGAAAATGTAAATAAACTTCTCTATTAAAACTTTGTTATTTTTTTTTTTTTTTGATTTGTGTGTTTTAAATTAAATTTAATTTCTTTGAGGTTTAATTTTATAGCATGGAAAATAAATTATGTTTCTAGTATTGTAAATTTGCCAAAAGAAAACTACCCCTGGAATGGAGTGTTCGTCCGATTATAAATCTGATTTAGGGTTAATTCATGCTAGATTAATATGATATATAAGAATTTGAACATATAATAAGCATTTAAATCAAACTAATGTTGGGCGACATACGCAGGAAAAAAGGAGAATACATATCTATTACCAAAGCTATTCTAAATTTTCACAACACAACGGTTACTGGGTAATAGAAGTAACGTGTTGTTTTTTTCCGACCGGCAGTAAACGGAAAAATTGGGTGTCCGTTTGGCTATGCCGGATGTATAAATACGTAGCCGATATACAGGACCTTCCTATTACAATATTTGCTAGATTTTTCTCATGGTAAATATGCATGAAATATTTGCCACTTTCGTAAAGTAAACAAACAATCAATAAATCAATCTAAATTTTCAGTTAACATTTGTCAGTGGATGTCTTATGTGTGGAAGTTTTTATAATACCTCCGGGTCACGATGTACATAGTCAAACGAAATGCTTAATATTATAACTCATTCAATTTGAGCAATGCTTGCAATTACCCATGCATTAGCGTACTTATAACTTTATTCTACACAAGGAATTGCTCATACCAAGTCAGGAATATGACAGTTATTTTCCATTCGTGTTTAATGTGTTTGAGCTTTTGATTTTGTCATTTGATAAGGGACTTTCCGTTTTGAAATTTACTTGGAGTTCGGTATTTTTGTTATTTTAATTTGTTTTGTTATTGTTATGGGTTTTTCTTTCCTTTCCTCGAGTGATATTCAGACATTATTTTCTAAAAGAAAAAGCAGCATTTAAGGAATAACACCACTAATTCATCGCCCCTTGTTTTCTAGGTTAAATTCTGCAACTTCAAGCATTCATACCTATTTTATCTTAAGTTTAAATAAAGTGATAGTCATTTCATATCAAAACTATACCTTACCCTGACTTGTGCTGAAAAAATCAACATAACTTTAATTATATATTAGAGCGCACGGGTTCCCAAAAGTTAGGTTATACAAAAACAGGTACTTCTGATCTGAGCAACATGGCAAATATGCCCTCCTAATACATGCTAATCAATTTTGTTTCGTGTTATATAAAATATATCTTTAACAGAGGTTTGATTTTCTTTCAAGAAAATTCCTTTGGATGTTTCTATGAAGGTAACTTCATACGAAAAGGAGAGACCATTAGTTTTTTTTCCACAGTGCGTAAAGTGCAGATGTTCTAAAACAACGCTTTCATGCTGTTCGTAAGTCATTAGACTCATCAACTGTTTTAACAAAAATCTTGCGATTAAAATTGACCGGAAGTCATAACTTACAACTAATTTCACTCAATTGTTTTTTAAAGGGTCACAGGATAACTAACTATAAAAATTTGGAAACTCTCAATTTCGTGGATAAGAAAATGTTATGTTTTTTAATTGCCGACAGTAATGACACACCATCAACTGTCATTATCTATTTGCAACTGGGCGTGAAGCAAATAACAACCAATCAACAAGTCTTATTTGAATTTCTAAATAAATTGTTTTCTAACCTTACATGCAGTTTCTGCATTTGTGCAAATTTTCGTTCAAATAGTTTAATAAAATACGTGGGTGGTTTATTTATGTATGAACATGAGGCAATAGTGATACTGTTGATACTATATATAACGTTTTGAGATAATTATCTGGATTATGACAGAATTTTTTTATACAAAATACATGATATTTCATTCAAAAATTAACGTTCCGCAAAAAATAAACGATAGCTTCAAATAAGATTTGTGATAAATGTAAAACACAAAATGTATATAAAAACTTCAGTTATACCTTAAGTTTCTTCTTATTCAAACCAATTTATACACATTTAGAATTTCAAAACCAGACCAAAAACGAATAAAAAGAAATAAAAAAATCAAATTTTATAGATATAAAAACTAATATAAAATTAGAAGATATGGTATGATTGCCAATGAAAATTCTCAAACAAAGACCAAATGATAGCAACTATATGTGTCTCCGTCCGGACAACATTTAACAATGAGCAAAACCAATACAGCATAACAAGTTATAAAAGGCCCCAGTATGACAAATGCAATACAATTCAAACAATAAAACAAACGGCCTGATTCATGTATAGAACAATAAACGAAAAACAAATAAGATATACTACAACAAAAGACAAACTCTGAAATGCTGGTTCCTGATTATCGACAAGCACATACATAATGTGGTGGGGTTAAACATTTTTCAGGGCGCCCAATCCTTATACTAAGACAATGGTGTAACAACACAACATAAGAACAAACTATAAAAATCAATCGAAAAAGTCGTATCTAATCAGATCGATACAAAGCACAAAAACAACTAACAAAACACTAAAAACACATTTAGTATAGATTTAAGAGTACTCGCAGTTACTGATAGCTCGTTCAAAGCCAATAACGACTAATTAAAAAAATCATGATCTAAGACTCAAATATCAATCAATACATACCAAATGGATTTAGTATAAACACGTAATAAACAGTAAAAGAAAAACATGATCTTGTGCATTGCCGAAATATATGTATCAACAGAATTTAGGATAATAATGATTTCATAAATTGTGGTGGACTGCTTTTCACTTTATTATACCTTTATTGAAGAAGTCTTTTCGATATCTGACGATTTTTTTTATCTCTTCCGTATGCTTTATAACAATAATACAAATAAATTTTTATCAGTGTCTTGAGCTGTGTTTAGACGATTTTTGGGTCGTTTTATGTGTGACATTTGTCTAAAAATTCCTAAAGACACTGATGATAATCTGCAATACATAAAAATATTATGCGGAAGTTACCAAAGGGAGAATCAAAACTGTTCAGTGTGGATAGAGCAATAAATAAAGGCAACAGTAGTATACCGCTGTTCGAAACTCATAAATCGATAGAGATAAAAATTCGGGTTACAAACTAAAACTGAGGGAAACGCATCAAATATAAGAGGAGAACAACGACATTACAAAATCACAACATTAAAATGTAACACACACAGAAACGAACTATAATATAACAATGGCCATTTTCCTGACTTGGTACAGGACATTTTAAGAAAAAAAATGGTGGGTTGAACCTGGTTTTGTGGCATGCCAAACCTCCCGCTTTTATGGCAACGTCAAACACAACATCAAAACGACAACATCACATGACAGGACCACAATACAAATAAATGGGAAAACATATAGGACAAAGAAACACACAAATAATAGCTAACAAAAGGTACTAGGCTTAAAATTCAATACGCCAGACGTGCGTCTCGTCCACAAATGACCAACCAGTGACGCTCAGATGATTAAAGTTTGAAAGCCAAAACAAGTACAAAGCTGAAGAGCACCGAGGACCAAAACTTCCAAAAAGTTGCGCCTAACACGGCCAGGGTTTTCTGCCTGGGACAAGAACATCCTTATTATTTAGAATAATTCATAACTTTGCAAACAGTAAATTTTATAAAATGACTATATAATAGATATACATGATGAAACCGAAGTGGGGACTAACTACAGAATAAAAACGGATACATTACATAAAACAACTTAATCCAACACATAAAAATACACAGCCGAGTTAGCCAAAGCCTCAACGCACAAAGTGACGTCACATTTGAAATTCTAAAAAAACACAAAAAATCATGGCAAAAAAAAAAGAAGAAAAAACAAGCAACAGTCTTCAAAACACTACATAATAATTTAAAGACTAAGCAATACGAACCCTTTGGAAGGGTATGTAGATCCTGCTCAACAAACCAATAATTATTTTTTAAATACAACTAGTAGTCATAGATAGCCTATGATCACCGTCTATTCAAATAATATACCTATATGGAAAGTAAAAATTGTAAATAGAAATATGTATGTATATATAATTGTAGAATAGGCATTGAAATAACAAGCGTGGGGCCGGAATGTAAAATTTTTCAGGATGGTTGTACCCAACGAGCAGTTTTAAAGTCGGATAGCAATAAAGAATGCTCTTCGGTTATGGGAGCAATTGGCAAGTAAACCAGTTGGACCCTGATTCGTTATTGGTGGAAGCATTGTGGTATTTTGGGATTAAAGCCATGTACCAGACCGTATGACACTTTTAACATTATAAATATATATAAAAATATATATTAAAGAAGATATTGTATAGTTTGTTGGATTATATATTTTTTTAACATAATAACACTACAAACCAGTAAAAGTCTGAAATGGCCTATATCTGTACTCGACTGTACTGATTTTTACTCGACCTGTCTGAAGTGGTCTGAAATTTACTTGATATTACTCGACTGTAGTCTGAAGCATACTTAACAGTCTGAACTTGAACTCGACGTTTACTCGACCGAAATTAATGCAGTAAATGGAGTTTCAGAATAATAACTCTAGAACCTTACACGGTTTATGTGATGATACATAAATGTCAATAGATGTGTCCCAAACTCAACTATAACACATATGAATTTGTAACCACCTGAACATATAATAGAGGTTACAAGAATAAGAGTTTGGTTAAATGTTTATTTCATATACATGGTACATCTTCTTCTTTTCCAATCCCATTTACAGAGTTAAAAAGGTTATATTTTGATAATAAATGGTGACACTTAAAATTAAAATTAATCAAATGATGGGTTACATTGGTTATTGTTGTTACTTATTTCATAAGTGGTCTCATTCAATTACTAAGTCCAGTTACAGGGTTACAATGATTTTTTTATGGAAAACAGCAACCACTGAATTATACGGACTCCTGAACAGACAGGCACATAAAGCATGTAACGGGATTAAAACATTTAATGGATTAAGTCTTTCCATACTGAAGAGGTGCTGCAACAGCACAATATATGAACAAACTTAAAAATATGCTGGAAAGGACTTGACTCATCAGATCGGTACAAAAGACAAAACAAAAAACAAATAGAAAACAAAGCACACAACGTATTGATCTAAGAGTATTCGCCGTTACTGAGAGCAAGTTCAAAACCCAATGTCTACTAACACAAACAACTTTTTTTCAAGACTAAAATATCAATCGATACACCTCCGACAGGTTTAGTGAAGAAACGTCATAAGCAGTCTAAGAAAAGCATTATCTTGTGTAATGCCAAATTAGTATCGACATCCTGAAAAATTATACGTGTTCATAAATGGATATCATAACATATTAAGTGATGTATTAACTCATTATAGAAAAAAATCAAAGATCCTAATACAATGTTAAATTGTCACCCTTCAAGAATAAGTTTATTAAGAGGATCTATAAATTTACATGGATCGTTTCTGTATTTACGAGCTTTATAAACCACATCACCGTAAACCTGTTTCGACAGGAACAGCTCAACTTTTAAACCAATTATTTGTATCTGTAAAAAAGATAAGTAAAGGTTTTCAGTAAATTGTGGTACCAAATATTTTTATTGTGGTGATGCCTGTCATTCGACTTATGAGTTTTTATTAACCACTTGGTATCTTTTTATCTTTCTTGATTTATTTATCCTCCATTTCATTTTAATACACACATTCAAAACTGTTGTATATCTATTTCCATTCGGAGGTCAACCAAAACAGCTATATAACAACATATGATAAGTATTTGTAATTTTCTGTCCAGATCAACCAATTATCATAAAAAGGAATTATCTATAGATTATTCAGAGTAAGATCAAAAGCACATTAACTGATAGTTTAAAAATTGTCTGCTTAAAGCAAAATAAAGGGAAATCTTCCATTTAGATGAAATCTTAAAAGATCGGACATACAAATTTTGGATGCAGTGGTCGGATCAGGTTAATTGGGATTATATTGCTATTTATCGGCAATTTCTAGAATTTTCCTTTATTGATGTTATTGCCTAATATTTTTTAAGATCATGTACAGGACTTGATACTCGAAAATATTAGGCAGGTAATGAGTGGCCGGTATGAGGACAACCCTGAGGAACACCGAGTATTCCGTGCCCCATGTAAGGGCTACCATTGTCCCCGAGAGGGTCCCAGCCAGTGCATGGAAGGCAGGGCTGGAAAAGACAGATAGGAAGTTTGACCAAAAACTTGGTCAAGTCCATGAAAAACTTGACGACATAATGGACCAATTCAAGAAACTCCTCACCCGTCTCGTTGCAAGAAGGCCCTCACCGGGCGGACAGGCAGGGACAGGAGATTGCTACCACTATGGGGAAAAGGGCCATTTCAGGACTGTCAGGATTTCCAGGGGAGGAATACAACTGTTACTTTCATGGATCAGTCAAGCAAAACTGCAACGGGTCCATTAAACTTCAACGGGACAACTCAGGAGGCCGGAGTGAGTCCCCGCAAATGAAGTTAGGACTCTCAGTAGTTGAGTCTGTACCCCAAGCCAGAGTAGCGGAGGTAGCTATATTGAGCCCAGAGGTAGATGTCAATCTCCCCTGGTACAGGTAGGGGAATGGAGAATCTAGGGTGTCGGTGGAGGTTAGAGCAGAGATTGAGTCAGAGCAGTCATCGAATTCTGACGAAGAGGCAACTCCTTCAGGTGAATAGTTGTCTCATTGGCAATCATTCCACATATCCACATTTTTATATCAACTAGAACACATCGACATCGTGGGTCCGTGAACGAATTTTATAGAACATTTCTATAACAAGTGTGCATACGCTGAAATGTCTTGCCTGCTTTACTGACCATGAACTATTTTCTTTTTAAAGTTTTAATGATAAAGGTTAAATCAGAGGTTTAACTACATGCAAGTACCACAGAAACTTAACAATTTGTTCAATGATCCATGACAATGAAATCAGGGTCAGTCAAATTATGCCAGACAGACAAGTACACCTTATTCTATAATCATTCTAATGACCATACACCAACTATAAGACATAAGATAACCTATTGCTTTAAGTATCCAAGAAAGAGACAAAACCATGAAAAGTAAACACTGATCAATGAAATTGAACCATGAAAATGAAGTCAAGGTCAGATGAACAATGCAAGACAGACCACTTGAGGGGTATTGACAAAAGGGATGCTTATTAACATTGCCATCTGTTCTTGCACATGATTCCATTTTCAAATCGATTCTATATGTAATACTTTTTAAGAAAATGCAAATAAAAGAAATTGCCTCAAGGGGATATAACTCTCAAATGGGACGATGAAATCCTACGCACCCTCATCTGGTTATACTTCTTGATGAGATCTACCTATTGTCCAAATAAAGTTATGATATCTTCAAAAACAAAGAAAAGGGGGGATGTCAAAAAAAAACAATAAAAGGGAGATAAATTATAAAGGGGATGATGAAATCCTACACAGAGTCATCTGGTAATACTTCATGATGAGGTCTATCGATGGTCCAAATTTGGTCTTGATAACTCCAATAGAAACGGGGGGAGGGCATGTAAAAAAAATGTTGAAAGAAAAAAAAAAGAAAAAAAAGCATTAAAAAAACAATAAGGTCTTTCCTCACGTAGGAGAAAGACCATAATAAGTTGTATCTAGAATCGGCATAGTATACAAACAAGGACATAACATAGCTCTATGGAGTGTTTAACCAACATAAATTCAATCAGTGACCAATAAAGAAAAATATATCTACAAAGTGTATGCACATGACCTCCTCACATAAATGTCACATGTAGTTTCAGCTTGTAATAAGAAAACCAGGACAGGACTGGTTCAAACTGAAAGATTTTGAAAGCAATGAAAACTGAGCACCTTATAAGAGGGTCTGGATAGGGTTTCTTCATTTCTGTATTCACCATTTTTCACTATTCATTATAAATTTTGCCTGTTATTCTCTTTTCTTTATATTTAAGCACCCCATTCGTCTCTATTCTTTATTTTGTTTACCTAATTTTCTCTTTTCTTTTTATTATTATTTTTTCCCCTTTATTATGCACATTTTGACCATTTTTCTCTATTCTGTAAACCTAATCCACCTCTCTTTAATATAATCAGCTTGATTTTATCAGATGACTAATATCAAGGCTAAAAATAAGGCGTAGGTACTTCGATTCATTCACGGACCCACGATGTCGATGTGTTCTAGTTGATATAAAAATGTGGATATGTGGAATGATTGCCAATGAGACAACTATTCACCCAAGTTCAAATGAAGTGGATGCATAGTAAGCAATTATAGGCAATCGTTCGTACTTCAAAAATTTGAAAACCCCATACCGTATAGCAGCTATAAAAGGCCCCGACACAGTCGGAAAGCAAGCTCTTAGCAACGACCGTTTTTGCTACTTTCTAAAGACAACAATGGGACTGATATTAAAGCCCGCCATTCTGAAGTTGCATTAATTTCGTGGAAAATGAAATTGGTTGCAATTTGAAAAAATTGTCTGTTTTCTGTTTCTTGATTTTTTCTTACTTGCCGTTGGAGGCAGAAATTGATGTCTTTCTATCTCTTAAGTATGTTTCTTATTATAAAAGAAAATAGTGAAAAATATAACCCAAATTAGCCGTCTTAAAACAAATATGTTGATTATTATGCGAAAATATCTTTTAGTTTATCTGTTAAAACAGAAGGAAAAAACTAAGATTAAATAATCAATATTATATAATCTACAGAAGTATAAAAAATAATAAGCTAAAAAAATATATGTAAGTCAGTAAACCCAGTAAACTGTGAATTGTTCTTCTCTGGATCATACACCAACTCCCCCCTCCTTTATACAAACTAAGCCCTGGACACTTAGTGGCTGCAAGTCCTCTATATAGTTGGACCCGGGAGATTATGCTGATCCACTTTCATTCTTCCTCGTTAAGTGTTCGGTCTCATTCTTCTTCACTTGCATTGTCTTTATACCTTTGTTAAGGGAGGGGATTCCAGGGTCCCACTGTCTTCTGTCGGGACCCCATCTAACTGTGGCAACGGTCACACGTAAGACTGTTGTCCTACTGTCTACTGGGGATTTCTGCAGATTACAATACCTAGCAACAATATTATCTGCTTTGAAAAGTGACCCCAATCTCGAATTGGAGCTTTCTTGATTAATGGATGCAGATTCCTGGCTGACGGGAGATTCGACAATAATAACTGTTCCTTTGTAAAGCGGATTGTTGCTTTTCAGTTGTGGCCTTTCTGTCAATTTCTCCCGTTGAGGAAGGGTCCACAAAAGTGAGGGATGTATGACCTTTTTCAATATTGTCAGTCATTCCTCCATCTACAACAGGAGTGGGCCCCCGATATCGCTGACAAACTGTGACTATCTCCTCATCACTGGCCTCTTCTACCAATGTGGTATCTGTCTCACCGTCTGAGGTGTAGTCCCAACTTTCTTGGGCCTCCTCATCACTTGCCAAAGTTGTCTCTGTTGGGGCAACAACCTCGTGAAGGCTATGGCTTTCCTCCATTGCCAAGATAGCTTCTATGGGTTCACTCTCAATATTAGCTAATGGACCCTCCTAGTCCCCTGTGAGCACTGCTGGATCAACTAAGTTGCCGAAGTCCAGTTCCTCACCTGAACCTAAATGTAAGGTCCGGATAAAATAAGTGGGCACTATGATCCCTTTCTGATTACCCGGGCACAAGACCGCCCCGCTTGGTGACCAAAAGAACTCGTAGCCCTCGGCCTGCGACCTCTGTACATCTATTTCTACCTATACCTCCCAATGGGGCTTGAAGCTGTTTAGCACTTTATTAACTAAGTATATACACTGCCTCCCCATTTTCTACAACCCCTCCTCTTTTATATGGCCCCATGAAGCCATGGTGGTGTAATGGTAGCCTTGAAGCACCTCATGTTTCTCCACTAATGGTATGTCTAGGGTATCCACCATCAAGGAATGCTCCTGGTTAGCCCTTATTTTCCAACAACCACTGTCTGTGTCCCTTATTAAAGTGAACCTCTTGTCCACGTCAACCTTGATCAGTTTATAAATATCCGGTAAAGAGTACCCGACAAAGCCTGGGTGCCTTTAAAGAATTTCCTCCACCAACAAATACCAACCAGGGAGAAGTCTGTGGCCCAATTCAGGGCACCATGCCTCAATATGTTAGCAAGAGTTTTACTAAATAGCGGTCCAATCCGCCTGAAGGAGTTGCCTCTTCGTCAGAATTCGATGACTGCTCTGACTCAATCTCTGCTCTAACCTCCACCGACACCCTAGATTCTCCATTCCCCTCCCTGTACCAGGGGAGATTGACATCTACCTCTGGGCTCAATATAGCTACCTCCGCTACTCTGGCTTGGGGTACAGACTCAACTACTGAGAGTCCCAACTTCATTTGCGGGGACTCACTCCGGCCTCCTGAGTTGTCCCGTTGAAGTTTAATGGACCCGTTGCAGTTTTGCTTGACTGATCCATGAAAGTAACAGTTGTATTCCTCCCCTGGAAATCCTGACAGTCCTGAAATGGCCCTTTTCCCCATAGTGGTAGCAATCTCCTGTCCCTGCCTGTCCGCCCGGTGAGGGCCTTCTTGCAACGAGACGGGTGAGGAGTTTCTTGAATTGGTCCATTATGTCGTCAAGTTTTTCATGGACTTGACCAAGTTTTTGGTCAAACTTCCTATCTGTCTTTTCCAGCCCTGCCTTCCATGCACTGGCTGGGACCCTCTCGGGGACAATGGTAGCCCTTACATGGGGCACGGAATACTCGGTGTTCCTCAGGGTTGTCCTCATACCGGCCACTCATTACCTGCCTAATATTTTCGAGTATCAAGTCCTGTACATGATCTTAAAAAATATTAGGCAATAACATCAATAAAGGAAAATTCTAGAAATTGCCGATAAATAGCAATATAATCCCAATTAACCTGATCCGACCACTGCATCCAAAATTTGTATGTCCGATCTTTTAAGATTTCATCTAAATGGAAGATTTCCCTTTATTTTGCTTTAAGCAGACAATTTTTAAACTATCAGTTAATGTGCTTTTGATCTTACTCTGAATAATCTATAGATAATTCTTTTTTATGATAATTGGTTGATCTGGACAGAAAATTACAAATACTTATCATATGTTGTTATATAGCTGTTTTGGTTGACCTCCGAATGGAAATAGATATACAACAGTTTTGAATGTGTGTATTAAAATGAAATGGAGGATAAATAAATCAAGAAAGATAAAAAGATACCAAGTGGTTAATAAAAACTCATAAGTCGAATGACAGGCATCACCACAATAAAAATATTTGGTACCACAATTTACTGAAAACCTTTACTTATCTTTTTTACAGATACAAATATTTGGTTTAAAAGTTGAGCTGTTCCTGTCGAAACAGGTTTACGGTGATGTGGTTTATAAAGCTCGTAAATACAGAAACGATCCATGTAAATTTATAGATCCTCTTAATAAACTTATTCTTGAAGGGTGACAATTTAACATTGTATTAGGATCTTTGATTTTTTTCTATAATGAGTTAATACATCACTTAATATGTTATGATATCCATTTATGAACACGTATAATTTTTCAGGATGTCGATACTAATTTGGCATTACACAAGATAATGCTTTTCTTAGACTGCTTATGACGTTTCTTCACTAAACCTGTCGGAGGTGTATCGATTGATATTTTAGTCTTGAAAAAAAGTTGTTTGTGTTAGTAGACATTGGGTTTTGAACTTGCTCTCAGTAACGGCGAATACTCTTAGATCAATACGTTGTGTGCTTTGTTTTCTATTTGTTTTTTGTTTGGTCTTTTGTACCGATCTGATGAGTCAAGTCCTTTCCAGCATATTTTTAAGTTTGTTCATATATTGTGCTGTTGCAGCACCTCTTCAGTATAGAGAGACTTAATCCATTAAAAGTTTTAATCCCGTTACATGCTTTATGTGCCTGTCTGTTCAGGAGTCCGTATAATTCAGTGGTTGCTGTTTACCATAAAAAAATCATTGTAACCCTGTAACTGGACTTAGTAATTGAATGAGACCACTTATGAAAAAAGTAACAACAATAACCAATGTAACCCATCATTTGATTAATTTTAATTTTAAGTGTCACCATTTATTATCAAAATATAACCTTTTTAACTCTGTAAATGGGATTGGAAAAGAAGAAGATGTACCATGTATATGAAATAAACATTTAACCAAACTCTTATTCTTGTAACCTCTATTATATGTTCAGGTGGTTACAAATTCATATGTGTTATAGTTGAGTTTGGGACACATCTATTGACATTTATGTATCATCACATAAACCGTGTAAGGTTCTAGAGTTATTATTCTGAAACTCCATTTACTGCATTAATTTCGGTCGAGTAAACGTCGAGTTCAAGTTCAGACTGTTAAGTATGCTTCAGACTACAGTCGAGTAATATCAAGTAAATTTCAGACCACTTCAGACAGGTCGAGTAAAAATCAGTACAGTCGAGTACAGATATAGGCCATTTCAGACTTTTACTGGTTTGTAGTGTTATTATGTTAAAAAAATATATAATCCAACAAAACTATACAATATCTTCTTTAATATATATTTTTATATATATTTATAATGTTAAAAGTGTCATACGGTCTGGTACATGGCTTTAATCCCAAAATACCACAATGCTTCCACCAATAACGAATCAGGGTCCAACTGCTTTACTTGCCAATTGCTCCCATAACCGAAGAGCATTCTTTATTGCTATCCGACTTTAAAACTGCTCGTTGGGTACAACCATCCTGAACAATTTTACATTCCGGCCCCACGCTTGTTATTTCAATGCCTATTCTACAATGATATATACATACATATTTCTATTTACAATTTTTACTTTCCATATAGGTATATTATTTGAATAGACGGTGATCATAGGCTATCTATGACTACTAGTTGTATTTAAAAGATAATTATTGGTTTGTTGAGCAGGATCTACCTACTCTTCCAAAGGGTTCGTATTGCTTAGTCTTTAGATTATTATGTAGTGTTTTGAAGACTGTTGCTTGTTTTTTCTTCTTTTTTTTTTTTGCCATGATTTTTTTTGTGTTTTTTAGAATTTCAAATGTGACGTCACTTTGTGCGTTGAGGCTTTGGCTAACTCGGCTGTGTATTTTTATGTGTTGGATTAAGTTGTTTTATGTAATGTATCCGTTTTTATTCTGTAGTTAGTCCCCACTTCGGTTTTATCATGTATATCTATTATATAGTCATTTTATAAAATTTACTATTTGCAAAATTATAAATTATTCTAAATAATAAGGATGTTCTTGTCCCAGGCAGAAAACCCTGGCCGTGTTAGGCGCAACTTTTTGGAAGTTTTGGTCCTCGGTGCTCTTCAGCTTTGTACTTGTTTTGACTTTCAAACTTTAATCATCTGAGCGTCACTGGTTGGTCATTCGTGGACGAGACGCACCTCTGGCGTATTGAATTTTAAGCCTAGTACCTTTTGTTAGCTATTATTTGTGTGTTTCTTTGTCCTATATGTTCTCCCATTTATTTGTATTGTGGTCCTGTCATGTGATGTTGTCGTTTTGGTGTTGTGTTTGACGTTGCCATAAAAGCGGGAGGTGTGGCATTTCTTAAAATGTCCTGTACCAAGTCAGGAAAATGGCCATTATTATATTATAGTTCGTTTCTGTGCGTGTTACATTTTAATGTTGTGTTTTTGTTATGTCGTTGTTCTCCTCTAATATTTGATGCGTTTCCCTCAGTTTTAGTTTGTAACCCGGATTTGTTTTTATCTCTATCGATTTATGAGTTTCGAACAGCGGTATACTACTGTTGCCTTTATTTATTGCTCTATCTACACTTAACAGTTTTGATATTCCCTTTGGTAACTTCCGCATAATTTTTTTATGTATTGCAGATTATCATCAGTGTCTTTAGGAATTTTTAGACAAATGTCACACATAAAACGACCCCAAAATCGTTTAAACACAGCTCAAGACACTGATAAAAATTTATTTGTATTATTGTTATAAAGCATACGGAAGAGATAAAAAAAATCGTAAGATATCGAAAAGACTTCTTCAATAAAGGTATAATAAAGTGAAAAGCAGTCCACCACAATTTATGCAAATAATATTATCCTACATTCTGTTGATACACATATTTCGGCATTGCACAAGATCATGTTTTTCTTTTACTGTTTATGACGTGTTTATACTAAATCCATTTGGTATGTACTGATTGATATTTGAGTCTTAGATACATGATTTTTTTAATTAGTCGTTATTGGCTTTGAACTAGCTATCAGTAACTGCGAGTACTCTTAAATCTATACTAAATGTGTTTTTAGTGTTTTGTTAGTTGTTTTTGTGCTTTGTATCGATCTGATTAGATACGACTTTTTCGATTGATTTTTATAGTTTGTTCTTATGTTGTGTTGTTACACCATTGTCTTAGTATAAGGATTGGGCGCCCTGAAAAATGTTTAACCCCACCACATTATGTATGTGCTTGTCGAAAGCCAGGAACCAGCATGTCAGAGTTTGTCTTTTGTTGTAGTATATCTTATTTGTTTTTCGTTTATTGTTCTATACATGAATCAGGCCGTTTGTTTTATTGTTTGAATTGTATTGCATTTGTCATGCCGGGGCCTTTTATAGCTTGTTATGCGGTATTGGTTTTGCTCATTGTTAAATGTTGTCCGGACGGAGACATATATAGTTGCTATCACTTGGTCTTTGTTTGAGAATTTTCATTGGCAATCATACCATATCTTCTTATTTTTATATTAGTTTTTAATTTCTTTTTATTCGTTTTTGGTCTGGTTTTGAAATTCTAAATGTGTATACATTGGTTTGATTTAGAAGAAACTTAAGGTATAACTGAAGTTTTTATATACATTTTGTGTTTTACATTTATCACAAATCTTATTTGAAGCTATCGTTTATTTTTTGCGGAACGTTAATTTTTGAATGAAATATCATGTATTTTGTATATATTAAAAAAAATTCTGTCATAATCCAGATAATTATCTCAAAACGTTATATATAGTATCAACAGTATCACTATTGCCTCATGTTTATACATAAATAAACCACCCACGTATTTTATTAAACTATTTGAACGAAAATTTGCACAAATCCAGAAACTGCATGTAAGGTTAGAAAACAATTCATTTAGAAATTCAAATAAGACTTGTTGATTGGTTGTTATTTGCTTCACGCCCAGTTGCAAATAGATAATGACAGTTGATGGTGTGTCATTACTGTCGGCAATTAAAAAAAATAACATTTTCTTATCCACGAAATTGAGAGTTTCCAAATTTTAATAGTTAGTTATCCTGTGACCCTTTAAAAAAACAATTGAGTGAAATTAGTTGTAAGTTATGACTTCCGATCAATTTTAATCGCAAGATTTTTGTTAAAACAGTTGATGAGTCTAAAGACTTACGAACAGCATTCAAGCGTTGTTTTAGAACATCTGCACCATACGCACTGCGGAAAAAAACTAATGGTCTCTCCTTTTCGTATGAAGTTACCTTCATAGTAACATCCAAAGGAATTTTCTTGAAAGAAAATAAAACCTCTGTTAAATCAAGATATATTCTATATAACACGAAACAAAATTGATTAGCATGTATTAGGAGGGCATATTTGCCATGTTGCTCAGATCAGAAGTACCTGTTTTTGTATTACCTAACTTTTGGGAACCCGTGCGCCCTCATATACAATTAAAGTTATGTTAACTGAAAATTTAGATTGATTTATTGATTGTTTGTTTACTTTACGAAAGTGGCAAATATTTCATGCATGTTTACCACGAGAAAAATCTAGCAAATATTGTAATAGGTCCTGTATATCGGCTACGTATTTATACATCCCACAAAGCCAAACGGACACCCAACTTTTCCGTATATTGCCTGTCGGAAGAAAACAACACGTTACTTCTATTACCCAGTAACCCTTGTGTTGTGAAAATTTAGAATAGCTTTGGTAATAGATATGTATTTTCCTTTTTCCTGCGTATGTGGCCCAACATTAGTTTGATTTAAATGCTTATTCTATGTTCAAATTCTTATATATCATATTAATCTAGCATGAATTAACCCTAAATCAGATTTATAATCGGACGAACACTCCATTACAGAGGTAGTGTTCTTTTGGCAAATTTACAATACTAGAAACATAATTTATTTTCCATGCTATAAAATTAAACCTCAAAGAAATTAAATTTAATTTCAAACACACACATAAAAAAAAAAATAACAAAGTTTTAATAGAGAAGTTTATTTACATTTTCATTGAGTACCGGTGACATGTTTCATATTACTGGATTCAGTAATTCCTCACATATAAAATAAATAAGATGAGATTGATTTAGTTACACTTGTCTCAGTTAATACTCCACAATACATGCGTATATAAAAAAAAATTAATTACCTGAAACTTGGTTCCCTCTGCACCAAGAATGGCATTCTCTAATTGAAACAATCACAAACACAAAGAAAATGATGTTATATTTCATTATTGAACTAGAAGTATATCTGTGCGCAGGGAAAATTATTTTTCAAATGATTGGTATTTTGATGATACTTATTTAAACTATTTTTCTTAATTTTATAATAAATGATAATCGTTCATATAGTTTTAACATTTGTAAAAAAAACATCCCATCTGTTTCAAAAACATTAAAACGCTATTAAAGTGTCATTATGCCTTGGGAAAGCGAAACTATTATCCAGTTCTTGGCGTAATCTTCATGTGACATGCTGTCATTCTGAAATGCATAGTTATGTTTTTAGCAAAAGGTCGTTTCCGGGAGTAGGCAGTTTTCATTAAAAACCTATGTTATATTAATCTTTTTAGAGGGGTACCAATAAGGGTTAAAGAGGTATGTTTGTTATATAATTTTCTATCATATAATGATCAAGAAAGACAACTGACAATTCTAAACTGAGCCAATGTGTTACACAAAAACTAGTCAATATTAAAAACTAAAGAGGTCGTCTGCTTCGAAATTTTGCAGCTTTAAATTTGGTTAGACGGTTCAATATCGTCCTGCTATTAAACATTCTGATGACTTACCAAGTCTTGGCTCCCTTTAGTGCTATATGTCCCTAACTCTTCTCTTAATTTTTAAGAAACTTAAGTTACAATTTTATTAATTTAGGTCTTTTTAAAAATTGTAATACCGTGTACACAATAACTTTTGAAAATTAAATTTAAAGATTTATAATACATATCAACATCATCACAATTAACCTGATCCGACCACTGCATCCGAAAACTGAATGTTCCATCTTTTAAGATTTGGTCTATTCTTTTTTTTTTTGCTTGAAGAAGACAATTTTGAAACTTGCAGTTAATGAACTTTTGATCTCACTCTGAATAATCTAGTGATAATTGGTTGATCCGGACAGAAAATTACATATAATTATCCTATGATGTTTTATGGCTGTTTTAGTTGACCTCCGACTTCACATAAATACACAACAATTTTAAATGTGTTTATTAAAATGGAATAAAGAATAAATAAATCAATTAAGATAAGAAGATACCAAGAGGTTGATAAAAGTTCATAAGTCGTAATACAGCCATCACCATGAGCAAAAACAGGAAAAAACAGACAATACAAATAGTTGTTACCACAAATTAATACTTTTTTTTTTTTTCATAGTTACAAAGATTTGGTTTGGAAGTTTGGTTGTACCTGTAAAAAAACATATTATCCACGGGATATCTTATCCTGATATGTACGGTGATACGGTTAATAGAGCTCGAAAATTCATAAACAATCCATCTAAACTTATTGATCCTTTCAGTAAACTTATTTTTGAAGGGTATCAATTTAACATTGCATTAAGATCTTTGAACATTGAAATAAACATGTTATGATATCCATTTATGAACACTTATGGTTCTTCAGGTTGTCGATACTTTTACCCTAGAACGAAAAGTTGATATGCACTATTATTTTGTTCAAAGGTCAAAACATAGGGCTGTGCGACATATATTCAACATTTTTATGCCCCGAACTTCTAGGAGTTTAAACTTATACTAAAACTCTGTACTACCCCTACCTTCACTTTGGGCCTTTCTCAGAATTCAATATGAAAACCTGAAGTGGTTCTGTTCTGTACACATGTCTGTCAGTTCATATGCAATACAATACTCAATTCCCATCTCCTGCAAAACAATTATGATATTCTGTACCAATTTTCAATGCACAGCTATAGCGTTGTTGACATTTAGCAACACATTCCTCTAAAACTTTTGCTAAGAGTCTAGAACTTGAAGTGATCCTGGTGTGATCTTTTGCTCTGTTTTAAAGGCCTCAGTGTGGTTTTGTGTTTAATACTAAGAGCAGCAATAACAACCTGTTCCTTCGCTTTGTTTTGTCATTTCTGTGTACATAGGGATTTATTTTATGTCATGAAGTAATACACTATATCAAATCTTTGCTATTTCAGATAACTTGAGTTATCTGTAAACGTTCATAATATTCATTTAGATGTGAACAAATCTTCTTTATATCTGCAATCTGTCCTATTAACATTAACTGCAGAGCATATGTAACTAAAAAATACATGCAATTTTGTGTAAGAATATATATATATCCTGTTAACAGGAAGTTGAAGTATTGCATATGAACTGACAGACATGTGTACAGAACAGAACCACTTCAGGTTTTCATATTGAATTCTGAGAAAGGCCCAAAGTGAAGGTAGGGGTAGTACAGAATTTTAGTATAAGTTTAAACTCCTAGAAGTTCGGGGCATAAAAATGTTGAATATATGTCGCACAGCCCTATGTTTTGACCTTTGAACAAAATAATAGTGCATATCAACTTTTCGTTCTAGGGTAAAAGTATCGACAACCTGAAGAACCATAAGTGTTCATAAATGGATATCATAACATGTTTATTTCAATGTTCAAAGATCTTAATGCAATGTTAAATTGATACCCTTCAAAAATAAGTTTACTGAAAGGATCAATAAGTTTAGATGGATTGTTTATGAATTTTCGAGCTCTATTAACCGTATCACCGTACATATCAGGATAAGATATCCCGTGGATAATATGTTTTTTACAGGTACAACCAAACTTCCAAACCAAATCTTTGTAACTATGAAAAAAAAAGTATTAATTTGTGGTAACAACTATTTGTATTGTCTGTTTTTTCCTGTTTTTGCTCATGGTGATGGCTGTATTACGACTTATGAACTTTTATCAACCTCTTGGTATCTTCTTATCTTAATTGATTTATTTATTCTTTATTCCATTTTAATAAACACATTTAAAATTGTTGTGTATTTATGTGAAGTCGGAGGTCAACTAAAACAGCCATAAAACATCATAGGATAATTATATGTAATTTTCTGTCCGGATCAACCAATTATCACTAGATTATTCAGAGTGAGATCAAAAGTTCATTAACTGCAAGTTTCAAAATTGTCTTCTTCAAGCAAAAAAAAAAGAATAGACCAAATCTTAAAAGATGGAACATTCAGTTTTCGGATGCAGTGGTCGGATCAGGTTAATTGTGATGATGTTGATATGTATTATGAATCTTTAAATCTAATTTTCAAAAGTTATTGTGTACACGGTATTACAATTTTTAAAAAGACCTAAATTAATAAAATTGTAACTTAAGTTTCTTAAAAATTAAGAGAAGAGTTAGGGACATATAGCACTAAAGGGAGCCAAGACTTGGTAAGTCATCAGGATGTTTAATAGCAGGACGATATTGAACCGTCTAACCAAATTTAAAGCTGCAAAATTTCGAAGCAGACGACCTCTTTAGTTTTTAATATTGACTAGTTTTTGTGTAACACATTGGCTCAGTTTAGAATTGTCAGTTGTCTTTCTTGATCATTATATGATAGAAAATTATATAACAAACATACCTCTTTAACCCTTATTGGTACCCCTCTAAAAAGATTAGGTTGTTATTGCTGCTCTTAGTATTAAACACAAAACCACACTGAGGCCTTTAAAACAGAGCAAAAGATCACATCAGGATCACTTCAAGTTCTAGACTCTTAGCAAAAGTTTTAGAGGAATGTGTTGCTAAATGTCAACAACGCTATAGCTGTGCATTGAAAATTGGTACAGAATATCATAATTGTTTTGCAGGAGATGGGAATTGCATATGAACTGACAGACATGTGTACAGAACAGAACCACTTCAGGTTTTCATATTGACGAATTTCTGATTTTTGTACAAGTGCATATGCTGTTATATTCAGTTTTGGTTAAGATAAAGTGTTGCTGCATGAATAAGGGTAATTTTTTGGGAATGATATTGATTCTCTCATAGGGTCTTTGCATCATAGATAAACACATTTATTCTGAAACCAGTTGTTGGCATGATACTTGTTATGCTCTTTTCTTGTAGGATTTATCATGGCATGATACAAAACCCCCAACGACAGGTATTGTGGTTGATTTTCACATGATGAAGAAATAATCTTTCAATCAGTTTAATTGCAGTTTGGAGCTTACATGTCAGTAACTGCTTGTAGTCTTCTGTTAATTTATGTTTATCATTGTCATTTTGCTTAGTTTTCTTCTGTTACCTATTATAACATCTGACTCTTTCTTCTTTCAAACTGAGTGTTACTGTGCGATTTGCTGTGTGTTTGCCCTATATACCACTTTGCCTCATATTCTTATTAAGAAAAAATTCATACACCTAATTAAATGGGCATTTAAAAAGTCGGAATGCGAATACATATGTTCAAACTTTTTTAGTTTCTCTAATTAAACATTTGAGATCCTCATCTTGTTTTATTCAGTAAGAAAAAATCAATTTTGATGAGCAAACCATGTATTTAAATGGTCAACAAATATAGCCACCTGACCACAATTGTCGGGAATGATGTAAGAATAGTAATCATGATAATATGGATTCACTATGGTGACATTTTACAACAAGTGGTTTTTTAGTACTTGTATTGAAATACTTTCAAAAAGTAATTCAAATTCATGTAACGAAAGGAGAAGGTATGACAAGGTCTTTTTGGGGGGATTTATGTTCAAAAATCGAAAAGGTTAATATATGTACCAAATAACATTCTTCAGACATTAATCGGTCTGTTGGACATCAGTATTTAGATTTTTATACTGTTTTACCTCTGTATGTCCGTCTGTAATATGCAAATCCATCACAGTTTTCTGAGGAACTACAAATCAAGAGTTTCCTGAAAATCATCAGTCTTCATATGAACATGCTATACTGAGTAATGCAGTTTAAAATTCACCCTCCTTCAACTTCCTGTTAACAGGATATATATATATTCTAACACAAAATTGCATGTATTTTTTAGTTACATATGCTCTGCAGTTAATGTTAATGGTATAAAACCACTAATTCATAGCCCCATTGCTTTCTATGTTAAATTCTGCAATTTCAAGCATTAATGGCTAATTTGTCTTAAGTTCAAATAAAGTAGCAGTTATTTCATGTCAAAACTATACCTTATCCTGACTTGTGCTGAAAAATTCAACATACCTTTAATTGCATTTTAGAGCGTACTGGTTCCCGGAAGTTTGATAGTACAAAAACAGGTACTTCTGATCTGAACAACAGGGCAAATGTGCCCTCCTATTAAAATTGTATATACTTCTTTATTATTCAAAAGAAACTTTCAACACGGGTTCTACAGTGATCCCAAGTCCCCAAGCTTTCATTTGATACTAAAACTACCCAAATATTCCACCTATTGACAAAGATACAGCTATGCGTAGGAACTATTTTGTTTAAAATATGTACTACTTTCTTGTATGTTCTTTCCGACCGGGCCTTAATTAGTGGTTCTATACCTAATAGGACAGATTGCAGATATAAAGAAGATTTGTTCACATCTAAATGAATATTATGAACGTTTACAGATAACTCAAGTTATCTGAAATAGCAAAGATTTGATATAGTGTATTACTTCATGACATAAAATAAATCCCTATGTACACAGAAATGACAAAACAAAGGGAAGGAACAGGTTGTTATTGCTGCTCTTAGTATTAAACACAAAACCACACTGAGGCCTTTAAAACAGAGCAAAAGATCACATCAGGATCACTTCAAGTTCTAGACTCTTAGCAAAAGTTTTAGAGGAATGTGTTGCTAAATGTCAACAACGCTATAGCTGTGCATTGAAAATTGGTACAGAATATCATAATTGTTTTGCAGGAGATGGGAATTGCATATGAACTGACAGACATGTGTACAGAACAGAACCACTTCAGGTTTTCATATTGACGAATTTCTGATTTTTGTACAAGTGCATATGCTGTTATATTCAGTTTTGGTTAAGATAAAGTGTTGCTGCATGAATAAGGGTAATTTTTTGGGAATAATATTGATTCTCTCATAGGGTCTTTGCATCATAGATAAACACATTTATTCTGAAACCAGTTGTTGGCATGATACTTGTTATGCTCTTTTCTTGTAGGATTTATCATGGCATGATACAAAACCCCCAACGACAGGTATTGTGGTTGATTTTCACATGATGAAGAAATAATCTTTCAATCAGTTTAATTGCAGTTTGGAGCTTACATGTCAGTAACTGCTTGTAGTCTTCTGTTTATCATTGTCATTTTGCTTAGTTTTCTTCTGTTACCTATTATAACATCTGACTCTTTCTTCTTTCAAACTGAGTGTTACTGTGCGATTTGCTGTGTGTTTGCCCTATATACCACTTTGCCTCATATTTTTATTAAGAAAAAATTCATACACCTAATTAATTGGGCATTTAAAAAGTTAGAATGCGAATACATATGTTCAAACTCTTTTAGGTCATTGTTGAAAACGAATGTTGAATGTTGAAAACGAATGTTGAATGTTGAAAACGAATGTTGAATATTGAAAATCGAATGTTGAAAACGAATGTTGAATATTGAAAACGAATGTTGAATATTGAAAATCGAATGTTGAAAACGAATGTTGAATGTTGAAAACGAATATTGAATGTTGAAAACGAATGTTGAAAGTTGAAAATCGAATGTTGAAAACGAATGTTGAATGTTGAAAACGAATGTTGAATGTTGAAAACGAATGT